ATCGTCCAGCCTCAGCTTTGGTATTCTTTCACAACCATGTTATGGGTTTATTAGACTGAGCAAACATAAACATATGTGGTGATCCCACGGGTTCTTGTTTGCAGACAGCGGCGATTGGAGCATCCGTAGGCTGCACAAAAGTCCGGCATAGTCAGGTACTTCTGTAAACACAAAGCCAGCAAATTCCTGTATCATAATGCAAGATGTTTTTAACAAGCCAAACCACTTGGAAGAAATCATGTGTAACTTAAGTTATGTTGAAAATAAAGAGCAGTTCTGCCTCTCCCACTGGTGTAAAGTTGCTGGGTGAACTTTGTAATACTAGGTCTCACTCACAGCCTCTTGTTATTAGCCAGCTAATAAATACAACCACATACACAAAGAAAAGCTGCAATTTCAACATGTCCAAGCATCCTGTATCATAGCCATGCTAATAATGTTTATAATAAACCAAACCGTTTGTAAATCAGTCAAGATTTCAGCGAGTTAAGAGTATTTTTGTGCAGATCACTCACCTTACAACAGCTACCATAACGCGAATCAGAGTAACTGTTGACTGTAGCAAGATGGCGGCCGGTCAGCTACGCTGGAAAATCTCCCATGAGCCATCTAGTGTTTATATATATCTATGGTTATGACAGTGTTGCGACATGCTTTACGGCATGCGAGGGATTGCTTTACTTCAGAGTAAGCCCGCGAGTTGTGTTGTTGCTGCCTACTGTAATGTCTTGACTTACTGTACAATAAACCTGAGTCGTGAAAGATACTCGACCCTCGATCATTCTACATGGTGTCAGAAGTGGCCGGTGAGTCACAGGAATTAAACAAGACAAAGTAGAGGAATATAGACGGCGGAATGAACAAGTTTAATCCCCCAGCGAACTTTTCGTTTGATAAGCCGACTGAATGGCCAGAATGGAGGCAACGCTTTGAGTGGTACAGACTCGCTACTAAACTCGACAAAGATGACGGGATAGTGCAGGTGAGCTGCTTCATTTATGCCATGGGCAACGAGGCAGAAAACATTTTCAAGTCTTTCACTTTTGCCGAAGAAGCAGACGGCGATGACTTTGCCGTTGTGGTGGGAAAGTTCAACGAGTACTTTTTCCCGAGGAGGAACGTTATCCACGAGAGGGCATGTTTCCACCAGCGGGTCCAGAGGCCAGGGGAGAAGGCAGAGGGTTTCATCCGAGCCCTGTATGATCTATCTGAACACTGTGAGTTTGGCGTAAGCCGAGATGAGAATATCCGCGACCGAATCCTTGTCGGGATACGAGACAGAGAGCTCTCGCGCAGACTGCAGCTGACGGCGGACCTAACACTAGCACTGATGATACGGACCGTCAGGCAGTCAGAGGAGGTCGCAGCACAAGTGAGTCTGCAGGAAGACACAGTGGGATCAGTACAGGAGGTGAGATTCAAAGAAAGAAATAACACATGGAAACCTCAACAACATCAAGGCAAGTCAAAAGACAGAAAATGGGGGGGGAAGTGAAAGGAAATGTGGTAAATGTGGGAAATCACAGTATAGCAAGGAAGAAGGGTGTCCTGCAGCTAAAGCTACATGCCACAAGTGCAACAAAATAGGACATTGGGCCAGAGTGTGCCGAAACAGCAATAGATCAGTGAATGAGGTCACAGGGACTGTACAGGCTGAGCAGACCCATTATTTCTTAGGCTCAGTGTGCAGTGCAGATGAGAAAGAGCAGTGGACAGTACAGCTCCAGCTGGATTCTACTCCAATGGAATTTAAAATTGACACAGGAGCTGATGTCAGCGTCTTATGTGAGGATGCATTTCACACACTCACTCCACCAAAAACACTGAAACCAGCTGACATCCCATTAGACAGCCCAGGAGGTGAACTGTTGTGTCTGGGACACTTTAATGCTACAGTTAGTTACAAGGGAAATAACTACCTATTTGAAGCATATGTAGTCCGTGGCCAGAGTGTCAAAAACCTACTCAGCCGGGATTTGTCAGTGGAGATGAACCTGGTGAGGCGTGTTGATGAAGTGAAATTCTTGAACACCTTCAAGCCTATGGTGAGCACGGCACACTAAAAACTGAACCTGTTAAAATCCAATTAAAGGATGGGGCTCAACCATATGCAGTGCATACAGCACGTCGTGTGGCCTTCCCAATGTTACAGATGGTAAAAGAGGAACTGCAGAGGATGGAGAAGAACGGTGTCATCGAGAAGGTAACACAGCCAACTGAAGTCTGAGTCCGACCCTTGTCAATTAACTACAGGGGTCCCTCAGGGCTCTGTTCTTGGTCCCCTCCTCTTCTCCCTGTACACAAACTCGGTCGGATCTGTCATTAGCCCGCATGGTTTTTCATACCACTGCTACGCTGACGACACCCAATTAATTCTGTCCTTTCCCCGCTCAGAGACCCAGGTCGTCGCACGCATCTCTGCTTGTCTAGCTGACATCTCTCAGTGGATGTCTGCTCATCACCTCAAGCTCAACCTTGACAAGACTGAGCTGCTCTTCCTTCTGGGAAAAGATTGTCCCACTCTTGACCTAACAATCAACATCGGCACCTCAGTTGTTTCCCCGACTCAGACTGCAAGGAATCTGGGTGTGACCCTAGATAACAACCTGTCCTTCACTGCAAACATCGCTGCTACAACCCGCTGCTGCAGATACACGCTTTACAACATCGGGAGGATACGTCCCCAGCTGACCCAGAAAGCGACGCAGGTTCTGGTCCAGGCTCTCGTCATCTCACGCCTAGACTACTGCAACTCCCTCCTGGCTGGTCTACCTGCATGTGCCATCCGACCTCTGCAGCTCATCCAGAATGCTACATTTTCCCACACCACTCCGCTCCTCCGCTCCCTTCACTGGCTTCCGGTAACTGCTAGAATCCACTTCAAGACACTGGTACTTGTGTACCATGCTGCGAATGGATCTGGCCCTTCGTACATCCAGGACATGGTTAAACCGTACACCCCAGCGCGTGCACTACGCTCTGCATCAGCCAAACGACTCGCTGCACCCTCGCTGCGAGGGGGACCCAAGTTCCCATCAGCAAAAACACGTGGGTTTGCTATCCTGGCTCCAAGATGGTGGAATGAGCTCCCCATTGACATCAGGACAGCAGATAGCTTGCACATCTTCCGGCGCAAACTGAAAACTCATCTCTTTCGACTCCACTTCGAGCGATAGAACTATTAACAAAGCACTTATATACTAATAAAGGACTGGCTTATCTAAAGCCAGTTGAGTAGCACTTGAAATGTTTTGGCTCTACGAAACCTGATGTACTTATATGATTCTGTTTTCTTCAAGGTTGTGTCTTCCTGGTCGAATGTACTTATTGTAAGTCGCTTTGGATAAAAGCGTCAGCTAAATGCAATGTAATGTAATGTAATGAATGGTGTGCTCCTATGGTGCCCGTTCTAAAGAAAACCACAGGCAAAGCCAGGATCTGTGTGGACCTGAAAAGACTAAATGAGTCAGTAAAAAGAGAGCGCTACATCTTACCTACCTCTGATGAAATAACTGCAAAGCTAAGTGGTGCAACTGTGTTTTCCTCTCTCGACGCTGCAAGTGGGTTCTGGCAAATCCCACTGCACCCAGTCAGCTGTAAATTAACAACCTTTATAACACCGTTTGGCAAGTACTGTTTCAAAAGGTTACCTTTTGGGATTTCCAGTGCGCCTGAGATCTTCCAGCGGAAAATGCTAGAGACTCTGCAGGGGCTGGAAGGCGTTGAAGTCTTCATGGACGATATCCTGGCCTATGGGATATCGACAGAACAGCACGACGCCAGACTCGAGAAGGTACTACAACGTGTTGAGTCAGCAGGCTTAAAACTCAATAAAGATAAATGCTCCCTCAGACAAAGCCAGCTACGCTTTCTGGGACATCTCATTGACCAGTCAGGAGTCAGGCCCGACCCTGATAAAGTTGAAGCCATACATCAGCTGGCTCCACCAGGAAACGTCCATGAGCTGAAAAGAGTCCTGGGCATGGTGAACTACCTGGGTAGGTACGTTCCAAACCTTTCCACAATAGGTCAACCACTGTACGAGATTCTGAAGAGCAGGAACATCTGGACCTGGGGTCACTCACAGCAGTCAGCTTTTGAGAACATTAAGACAATGCTGACCACAGCACCGGTTCTTGTCTTCTATGATGTGGCTAAAGCCACAGCGGTGTCTGCTGATGCCAGTAGCTATGGCCTGGGGGGGGTCCTCCTCCAGCTCCATGAAGAGGAGTGGAAGCCAGTAGCCTACTGTTCGAGGCGTCTCACAGAAGCGGAGACCCGCTACGCCCAGATAGAAAATGAGTGCTTGGCTAGCGTATGGGCCTGTGAGAAGTTTGACAAGTATCTATGTGGCTTGGAGACCGACCACAAACCATTAGTGCCACTGATCAACAAACAAAGCCTAGATAACGTCCCCTTGAGATGTCAGCGTCTACTAATGAGGCTCATGAGGTACAAACCTTTAGCAGAGCATGTGCCTGGGAAGATCCTTGTTGTCGCCGACACACTGTCCCGAAGCCCACAGACACATACAAAGGAAGAGACTGACACTCAAGAAGATGTGGCATGCTATGTAGCCACATCTCCAATGAGAATGGAGAATATCAGAAAAGAGACAGCACATACACACACCCTCCCGGTCCTCCCAACAGCCAGTCGGTGCCTGCCGGTGAGCGTGGAAGTGTGGTCTGCCACAAGCGGGCGGCAGGAGCGGGGCTGTCAGCATCAGCTTGTAGATGGTATTTTAAAAACTCGATGCGCTCTGAAGCTACGGGGCGGCCGAGGACAAAAAATACACATGCGTTAATCGCGTTAACATAATTAGTGGCGTTAATTTTGTTTTGCGTTAACGCGTTATTAACGTGTTAACTTGACAGCCCTAGTTTTTATGAACCCGGTGTCGGCCGGACAGGAACCGGAATGAATGATATTATGAATGATTGTAGTATTTATTACATGTACAGCACTTTGGCCCGACCAAAAATCGCTTTTAAACGTGCTTTATAAATAAACTTTGATTTTATTTTATTTGACAGTACACCTCAAATACATCACTACACAACCTGTGGTATTTGAAAATAAGGGAATGACATGTTTATAATATGCTGCAAAACACAACAGATATGCAGGGTTGCGAGTCTGTTTCGAAGGCCATTTTATTTTTGGTAGTCTGATCATTTTAACAAGAGAATAGGATCAGACTGAAAACATCGTAAATGTGTTCTAGATACATGAATGGCTCTTTTAGACCAGAACAGACTGCTAACTCAACAGGAACTATCAAAAACATCCCAATCAAAGTTTAAAGTCACAACATTTGATTAAACAAACAGATTATTGGAGAAACTACTCTGCAGATTAATGAACAGTGAAACTCGCTCATGGACTTTAAGGTGAATACTTTAAGAAAAAGTTTTCCCATACTCTTAACACCACTATGGTTTTAGGAGTGTGTGAACACGAAGATGTGATTTGAGAGCACCTGATCTAGTGAACGTTTTCCCACACTCTTCACACCCGTACGGTTTTTCTCCGGTATGAATACGTTGATGTGTTTTAAGAGCACCTGATTGAGAGAAAGTTGTCCCACACTCTTCACACCAGTACGGTTTTTCTCCAGTATGAATACGTTGATGTGTTTTGAGAGCACTTGATGTAGTGAACATTTTCCCACACTCTTCACACCAGTACGGTTTTTCTCCAGTGTGAATACGTTGATGTGTTTTGAGATCACTTGATGTAGTGAACTTTTTCCCACACTCTTCACAGCTGTACGGTTTTTCTCCAGTATGAATACGTTGATGTGTTTTGAGATCACCTGATTGAGAGAAAGTTGTCCCACACTCTTCACACCAGTACGGTTTTTCTCCAGTATGAATACGGTGATGTGATTTGAGATGACCTGATGTAGTGAAAGTTGTCCCACACTCTTCACAGCTGTAAGGTTTTTCTCTAGTATGAACAAGTTGATGTGATTTGAGAGCACCTGATGTAGTGAAAGTTGTCCCACATTCTTCACAGCTGTAAGGTTTTTCTCCAGTATGAATACGGTGATGTGATGTGAGAGCACTTGATTGAGTGAAACTTTTCCCACACTCTTCACAGCTAAACGGTTTTTCTCCAGTATGAATACGGTGATGTGATTTGAGAGTACCTGATGAAGTGAAAGTTGACCCACACTCTTCACAGCTGTAAGGTTTTTCTCCTGTGTGAATAAGCAGGTGGGTCTTTAAATGTCCAGATGTTGTAAAGGATTTGTGACATTGCTGACAGCTGTGACGTCTCTCTCTTCCTTTTGGTTTCTAGAACAGAGGGACAGAGAAAGAGAGAAAGTCAATCTAAAAAGCATCAATACACAAGTTAACACAATAAAAACTCACTTAATATAAACCTTGAGTTAACAAAATACTACTTATCAACTGTTTGTGTTTATTATATTTGATACAGTAATACAGCAATATTCTAACCAAATATACCAGAGGTGGGGGACTCGAGTCACATGACTTGACTCGAGTCACATGACTTGACATATTTTTTGACTTGCTTGACTAACATTGATAAAAGACTCGACTTGACTTCGTATTCATGACTTGAGACTTGACTTAGGCTTGAGACAGATGACTCGAAAGGACTTTACTTTTTTAAATAAAATATTTGCATTGTACGAAGCCCCTAGAGGGCAATGAAAGAAAAAAAAGAGAAAGTATCTCCTTCACAGGAGAAAGTAGGAAGTGGAGCACACAGGAGACAGCCGTTTCATTGCAGACTGTTATGTTTATGTGGGGAAATACATACATTATTTGAGATACATTTCAAACTCGGACTTCATTTTAGGGACATTTCGACCAGGGGTGTAGAGTTATTTGTTCAAGCACCAGATCGGCAAAACAGGAGAGTCTGTGAACCAGTCTGCCTTGACCTATGTATTAATGTCTGTGACTCACAGTATCTGCTGCCCACAGCTGTTTTATAGAAGAAAAACCTCCTTCACTTCATGAAATCTCTGCAGCACCAGGAGGCAGTAACGTGTAACTCAGCAGAATCTCAGAAGAGCAGCACCAGCTGCAAAGAGCTGTGCCTTCACTGTGTGTACCTTCATTAGAACAGCTAACGAGCGACTGCAGGCTGCTACGTTTTAACCACACGCACCTCCACACACACACACACACACACACACACACACACACACACACACACGCTCAATTATTCCCTGTTTTATGATTTCAGAGCCCCACTCTCCATTGTTGTTAATGTTGAAAATAAAACTCTAGTTTTCATAACCACTGTCTTTTAACTGATTTAAATGTGGAAACTGGGGTTATTCATCAGGATTTCGTAGGACTTGACTTGCTTGACTCTCACCCCAGTAACTTGAGACTTGCACATGTATGACTTACTCCCACCCCTGGTATACAGGAGACAGAGGGAGACGGCATCCTGTCACTGCGAGTCTCAGTATGCTCCGTTCGTCTTGTTTTAGTTTTTGTGGTCTAATTATTCTCTAAACTTTGTGTTGTCTGTATGAAACGTTATTTTGAGAGACCATGCTTTTGATCCTGTGGATTACGTTTGCCTTCTGCAGACCATGTCTGGCCATGCCATTCAACTTTCCAAGACACACCTGAGTGACAGCACGAACAGGCGAGGAGCCCCGGCCTCTACGCTGCTACATAGCGAGGCTATGCTAGAGCTCCAATGCGATCGGCTTCCTACGAATACACCAAGCCACCTGTGCTCTTCAATATTGGATGAAATCCCTCGGGAGCCGCTTAGAAACACCAGGAAAAAGAGATGAGGAAGGAGGGGAGGCGTTCAGAAGGGCGGAGATTCAGCCGGCCACCACTTCCATCCATCATTCTCACAAACCTGCGCTCATTGAGCCACAACGTGGACACACTAAGGACATACACAAGGTACTGTCATGAATTTCTTGAGGCCTCTTTATTATGTTTCACGGAAAGTTGGCTACAATCTACAAAGCCTGAATCTCTTTGAAGTACCCGGACTCACCATTGTTCGAGCAGACAGTGATGCGAACTCGGGGAAAACCAGAGGAGGCGGTATTTGTGTGTATATTAATGATCTGTGGTGCCGATGATACTCAGTCAAATGTAAAACCTGTGATCCCAACGTAGAAATTCTTGGCATGACGTTAAGACCCTTTTATCTTCCTAGAGAATTCGGGTGTATTTTACTGTTTGTTGTTTACGTGCCTCCCAGCGCAGAGGACACTGTGTTCACGAGCTACAACTCAACCACCGATGCACATCATGAAGCAATGTCGCCTGGAGACTGTGTTACCTGGGTTCCAGCAGTATGTTAGGGATCACAGCAGGAAAGACAATATACTGGACAAATGCTTTGTTAATGATACAGGAACCAATAGAGGTTTCTCAATACTCAAATTTCCCCTCCTCGACTCCTATCCTCGATACTTAGTCCCGCCCACAGGAGATGCGAGCGGAGGACTGAGGAGGGGAGCCGAGGAGAGAGGAGGGGAAGCAGCAGGCGGTTAGAGAGAGATGAGAACTCGTCTCCTCTGAGCGGTCATTTTAAAGAGACGTCCATTAATGATGACAGGAGGCACAGCAGCCCTCAGTCTGATGGACAGATGTGTTCATGATGACATATATATATATATATATATATATTTACTTTGATTCATTCACAGTGCGGTATAATGAGACAATAACAGGCTACAGATGCGGACACACACATTTATATAAATATATACAATTTCAGAATCAAACAAGTATGAGAGCACTCTCATAATAACGTAACACAATCAGAGACTGGATATATCCCCCTCTCTCTGGTCGCTGAAATGGGGAATTGAAATTACGGGCCAAAAGTTGTATTTACAAGTAGGCGATTAAAAGAGGACACCAAACCAACTGAGACCCGTCTGTCCGCCGTACACACTGTACAACGTACACACTGTACAGAGCTCGACATTAAGAACTGCCCGATGGCCCGGGGCCATCTAGTATTTAGCTCGGGCAATGAAGCCTCACCTGCTGGTTGCCCGATCGGGCAATCTATTATGCCAGTATCATGCAGCTCGCGGATCCAGTAATGAGTGACCCGACAGTAAAACTAAACATATCTATAACTAGTTTAGGTAGTTTGAGAGGTAATTAAAATAGCTACGTGTGATATTCTAACCTGAAGTGTGTGTTTTGTCCGCTCACCGCTGCATGTGATCATGCAGAGCTGCGTGTCGACTCGTCAGCAGCAGCTGATCTCTCTCTCCCGTCAGATTAGACTTCACTCGCGTCCATATCGATCAGATCCAGCTAGTTCTAGCTAATGATATGACTACCTGCTTATTAAAAAACACCTAAACAATAAGTGTCGCTACGCAACCGGGTGAGGCCACAAAGTATAGCGCAGCATTATGCATTTGTTTACATGCCCACCGGAACCCCGAGGCATTACCAACAGATCAACGCACAATCAACCCATACAGGACATCTCTTTCTTTAGACATTAGAATTGACTATTCTTGTCTGTCACATACTCTTCTTGTCTGTCACATAAGTGGCGCAACTGAAGCGGTATTGCGCTAAAGGGAAATTATTTTGACCGAAGAGATTTAGATTTGCCAGCTAACGGTAAATCTGACGTCGCCATTTTGTGTGCTTCGCGGATGCGCTCGGCTCCTCTCGACTGCTGCTCGGGTCTGCTCGGTCAGCTTCCGGATGAGGAGGCATTCGACCAACTTACAGTAGATAACATTACAAACATTTTTAACAGGGGCCATAATAGTGTAAATAATGTTTGTTTTGGCAGTTATAACTGAATGTAATGTTTTCTACTTGTTTACATCTGGGAAGGCATTTGCCTTCATCAGATGGAAAGTGTCTTGACCAACAAGTATTTCTTATAGCTATGCAGGGCATGCAAGCAAGCAAACACAAACAGTGAAATGAAGAATACAATTGAAATTGTACAATATAATATTGTGGTGGTTCATCTTATAATTCAGTCTAGAGAACCAGACAGCATCTACAGTAAGACCTGCAAAAATCTAAATGTTCTAGGGTGAGGCCCCCCAAACCCTTCGTGTGTCATTTCGTCCGTGCGCATTTTTCAGGGCAATCTCTATTGGGCTCAGGGCCATCTGTAAATTAGCTTAGATGGCCCACAGGGCCATCTCCCAAAATCCTTAATGTCATTCACTGCACTGTACAACACACACACTGTACAACACACACAATGTACCACACACACACCTACACACTGTACAACAAGCACCTACACACTGTACCACACACACCTACTACAGCTCGTAAAGCATAATCAGGCTACAGCCGTTGTGTATTTTATTATGTGAAGCACTAAATGGTCTTAGAAAAATATCGACTAAAGCAAATAAAGAGAGTAGGCATGTTATACTGAGTGATACATATTATACACTAGCGGTGTAACGGTATACGTACCGTTCGGTACACGTGTGTACCGAATATAACGTTAAACGTAAAAAAATTGAGAACGTGAACAACTTCTTGGAAGCAATCTTAGGTGCTGCGTCGCAGCATTCAGAGTAATTTGCTCACATTGGGTTCAACGCGTCTTATGCGGCTTTCACACCAGCGCTTTTCCCTTTCTAGCTCCGAGCGGGAGCTTTTCTGGTTCAGCTCCAGTTTCCCCATTTCTGCTCCCGCTCTGTTCACACCGCCCAGAGCTGCCGCTGCTGCGTCATGACGTCACCGTTTACGTGCCTGCTTCATAAAATCCAAACCGCGCGGAAATCCCTCACATCGACAACAACAACAACAATGGCTGATTGTATTGAAGCGCTGTTCGCTTTGGTTATCCTCTTACGAAACGACATGGAAGGCATCGGACGACTTTACTTGGAACTTTACAAACATCACATGCGAAATGCAAGACTTCTTTGTGGTCTTCAGCATCTACTTCAACGACGAATCCCGCCCATGCCCCTGCCCCCGCCTCGATGTAAGAGTCCCCTCTCGAGTCCCCTCTCGAGTTCCCTCCTCTAGTCCCTCCTTTAGTCCCTCCTCTAGTCCCTCCTTTAGTCCCTCCTCTAGTCCCCTCTCTAGTTTCCCTCTCGAGTCCCCTCTCGAGTTCCCTTCTCTAGTTCCTCCTCTAGTCCCTCCTCTCTCCTCTAGTCCCCTCTGGAGTCCCCTC